TGTGTGTCTGGAATGTTTGTATGACTATTCAGACATAGAGAGCAACCACACAAACCAGTGTTCATCGGAATATGTGCACCGGCGCTGCTGCAAATCCAATTTCATATGAGCGAAATCTGGAATAGTTTACTATGCGACTACATTATCAGCCCTTGAATAGAAGCGGTAACGCTCATAAAATCTGGCATTGTTTTTATTATTCGCTCTCGTCTTTCGTCGTACAAAAGGTTGGGCATAAAATTTTGACCTCACCTTTTCACTATTGATAGTTGTTTCCGGTATGTTAACTACGTGTGTATGTGTTTGTGCATGAGACGCTTACATAAGAATTCATCAAGCGTAAATACATTGCGCACGGAATTCTTCCCTTATTTTATTTCCATGCTTTCAGCTCACAAGAAAAATGAACAACCCTCAATATATTTTTCTTCGTGAACATTCAAACTTCAAATTTTCTGTCATCAGTCGTTGCATTTGTGCGCCAAGTTTACATATCAAACAAACACAAAACGGACAGAAAAATAGATTGCAAAAGTACGAAGGAAAAAAAACACGTTCACACATTTACACGCAATGCGAGATAGAAAAGAACTTGGTGAAAAAAAAATGGTTGTGAGACCATAACAGCTGTTGCAGCACTTAAACTCGCGTCACTGCAAAACAAAATAAATCGCAAAGAAATAAAACTTTTGTGAAAATGGGTACAATCTTCTCTCTCGTTCTCTCTATCACTCGTCTCATTCTCTTGTGCATTTTTCCACAGTTGTGTGCTTCCAATGGAGCACATGATAACATAAAATGCACAAAAGTATTGAGCAGGAAAAAAAGAGCGGTAATATGAGTACACACACTCACAGGAATAGTTCAATCATAGTTGAATAAATAAACGAGGGTAGAGAAGGAAAACGAATTTATTTATGTAATATCAAATGTGGTGTGTTAGTATCCGGGAATACAGATGTGATTTGCTCCGAGATTCATCGTTTGCTATAAAATCTATGGAAGGAAAGAAAACTCTTTTAACGGATAAAATTCAATGAAATGGAATGCGCCGGTACAGGACGCACGATTTTCATTGTATGGATGAACAAGTGAACGCAGCAGGAAGCATATAAACAACCGGACAAAAACAAACTATCTGAGCTGATTGATATTGCATTAAATTTAAAAGCATTGACATTAGATCAACTCAATGAAAACGAAAAGAAAAAACTGCAATTGATACAAATAGATTTTCAAAGCAATTGCAACAACCATAAGTCACAAACTCAAAAGCTCGATACAACCGCGTTGACAATTCAAACCTGTACAGTTCCGTTCGTTTGTCTATTTATTTGGTTTTGTTTTTGTTTTTGGTTTGACGTGCATTTTGGCAATGAATTCGATTTCAGTGTTAATTTATGAATTACATGGCGAGAAATAGTGGCTAGTGCAATTCTAAATTCCTATTTTTAGAACAACAACAACACACACACACACGATGTGCACGATCTGTAATTGACGGAGAATTCGGCCGAGAGTTGAGAGCCCATTACACATCAGAAAATAAACCATTAATCTGATGACATTTAGCGCATTGCATCGAAGCCCGACAAACACACACACATACACACACACACAACGGCGGACAAATACTCTCGACGTCAACAGATTGCGTTGAAAAACCAATTTCAAAAATTATAAATGTGCACACACCGAAGAGTGACTCTAACTCACTGAGCAAAACGAACATTGAACACATTTTGAGTGTAACAACAGTTGTTGTTTGCCATTGAATACGAATCACCATAGATATATACTATCTACATAAAATACACATCTATGCATATCCTGATTGCATTATGCGTTTGTCACTTGTGCCAATGGTGTACAATGATATTATTTTGCAAACAAAAACAGCATACGACTGATGTTACTCGTGTCTCTCGTGTGCGCCACTTTATTTTACTCAACTACAAAATAAACGGCATTCCGTTTTTCATTCTGTCGTGGTTATTTTTTCTTCTTCTTTCTTTTGCTATTCAATTCGGAAATTGTAAACGAATCTATGTATGCTATAGGGAGATACGTTGAGATAGGTTTCGATTCGGCGTCTTGAACTAATTGGCAAATTGCCTTCTGAGCGGAAAATCGTGTACAAAATGAATGTGAGCATAATGTAAACATACTTAATGTGTACTGTTGCGTTGCGTTTCACTTCGGTTTCGGTTTTGTGTACCGTTTCTTTTTTTTTTGCTACGATAACAACGAACGAGCTCAACACACCTGATTTAAATGTGCATATTAAATATAAGAGACACAGCTAGGCGAAGAGAGAGGGAGAGAGAGGGTTAGAGAGAAAGGCAGCGTGCAATCTATTCATCGCAATATCAATGAATTTCGCAGAGATTCGCTTTTGGCTTGAGCGTTTTGTATGCGCTCAGTGAGCGCCGCTCACAGAATCAGATGGTCGGTTTGTTGCCGTTCAGTTTGGTGTTTTTTTTCTTACTTCTGTTCTATCTGGTCCCAGACTGAGCATTCGGTAGCAAACATACGATACGTAACAACGATAATACTATGATCATAGACTTTGGTGGATGCAAACTTTTGTATTTGTTGTCATTTCATTTCGGAATGCGCGTTCAGAAGCAGCACACAAATTGTATGCTTTCAGTTTGTTCACGGACGACATTGTTGCAATCGTCGCGGGCGAGCGCCTCACTCCCTTTTCTCTTTTTATTTCTTCCTCTGCATGTTTGTATGTAAGTTTTTGATGTTATTTTCTGGTATGCTTTTGTTAATCAAAAACCTTTGCTCTCCGATTCAATGCACAGACCACGGATTGCATCGTTTGATTTGCGATTTTGCCAAAAGCCAATTCCTCTATGAAATTTGTTTATTTCATTAACAGCAACAGCAGCAACAGCAACAACAACAACAGTACACCACAATGTAATTCACCAAGGCATCGTTGTAAAAGGATATTGGGTACGACGCGCACATGTGTACGAAAACTATCGAATTCAAAGCGTAACGAAAGATTCGAGGAAGCGTGCGTCATTGTGTTCCATACTCATAGTGGCATTTCGTTTTTGTGATTGTTGTTTTTGGTCAGGGAAAAACCAAATCAGCCGATTGGCTACTTTGTAGTAATCAGCTCAAACGCACACAACACAACGCAACGATTTTGTGATTGAATGTGGAACTTTTGTTTAAGAGCTTTAAACTGCGTGGTACGTCCATAGTATGTTTCATGGTGAAAGTAATATACACTCAGCATGCTGACTGTTTAATTTGCCCTAATTCTTTCTGCTTATTTTTTTACTCTTGAGGGACTACCTTGAGAGAGGGACAAAATGCCCAACAAATGAAACTAAAGCAATGTGTGTGTGTGTGTGTGTATGAATGTGACCATGTCTAAAGTTGACTACTCTTTTGTCTATAATTACGCTTTAAAAACGAACACATCGTCATCGTCATTATTAACGGTAGCATTTTCCTATGAGTTGTGAGCGAGTTACAAACCACTGGTGCCGAATAACATTCTCGCTCATAATATTCAGCCGGACATAGATGTCATGGATGAATTCAACAACAATAAGAAGTTTTCTTTTTGTTTTCAAATGTCTCCTAATGCATATTCCCCACTCAAAATGTTCATTTCATTCCGTGTCTTATACCTAATTTAATTATTTTTTAATAATAAACTACGCAGTTTGATAGAAGCTTTTCCCCTCTGTCGATTGATAGTTTGAAAATTGAGTATTTATTATGCATTGCGCCATAATGGATACAGGCAATAGAGAGAAACGTACTGCACATGAATTTAAAGGCAAATGAGAAAAAAACAAGGAAATGTGAAGCGAATCAATATCATTTATCAATTGTTTTCGGATACATCCATTTAGTCTGTGCTTGTATCCATCATCATGTTGAGCTGTGGGAATACATTTCAAGTATGAAATGAAAGCAATAATAAGAAACTAAAGTGAAAAAAAGTTGTACCGCACATCGTATGAACATACAATAAAGCATAATATAAGCGTCGCGTTATTGTGTTAATCAGTTTGATCGAATGTCGTCGATCTGAACGCTCAATCAAATAGGTACGACGATAAAATGGTCTGCCCGTTTTACATGTTGAAATATATACGTATACCGTGCCGACCGAGCACGAGCTCAATATATATTATCGAATCGCGTCAATCATCATTTTCTATCAATTCAAATAAACTCAATTCACCATGAATAATGAATGAATGAATGAATGAATGAAAAAAAGAATGAGAAAAAAAACAAAACCAAATGTAATTCACAAAGCGGTGCATTGATTTGATTCATGACAGACGCTTTGGTGGCTGTGGCTTTGTCCACAATTATTTAAATTATAATATTTATTGCATACACATATATGTCTGTATACAAAATAGAAAGAGCAGAAAAAACCTTCAACATTCGGAATAAAAAAGAATATTGATTCATTTGATTATTATCAGCTCAAATGGTTGTGTCGAAAATGTAACAAACAGTTATGAGCACGCGGGCACATAGCATTGCGAGCGAAAAGGAAAACGACGCCCGATAATTTATGGTTTGGTAATTCTATAATAGAAAATCATCAAAATTAGGTTACGTCCTAAAATCGTTACGAATTTCATTTTCCGAAACGCAAACCACCATCGCCACCGTCGACGCCACCGCCACCATCAATACAGATAGACAGCGTATAGTGGCATTAATGTAATATGACAAATTATTGAAATAAACGAAAAATTAGAAGCAACAAGAAAATAGAGCACGAACACCAAAAACAAACATGGCAAAATTACGATTGGCTTTTGAAATGATTTGATATTGTTTCGATTCGAGTCGAGTACTTGTGCAATGTGCATGTTTTAAATCACTTTGTGTGCATCTGTGTATGTATGTGCGTGCATTTCATGTTTATTGGTCCTTTCGCTAGTTTCGTTTTCTTTTTTTAACAATTTCTGTTTTTTTTTTCGTTCGTTTCTATGTTTCAGGTTCCATAAGTCGGTCAACAACTACAAATTATAATTGAAATAAGTGCACATGTATGTGGAAGACGGCACGACGCCACATTCGGATTCATCGACGTCATCGTGTCAATCGTTTCGAACAAGCTACAACTACCAAAATATCGCAAATATCAGACGTTCATGTGTGAAATGAAAAACGTCTCAAATTTTTCGAAATTCTGCGCGCGCAATATATTCTGTTGAGAGAGAGAGAGAGAGAGAGAGAATATAATTCATGACGAAGAGGCCACATATAAAGTAACTGTTTGAAACATTGATGCATGTGAAGTAGCAAATCGAATCAAATATCGTCGACATAAAATTGTTCTGTTTATTTTGGATGCAGTTCAATTGCGATTGTGCGACGATTGAAGCCAATTGATTGCTGTTAAAGCAGGCAGGCAGGCAGGCAGGCAGGCAGGCAGGCAGATCGGCGTTTGTGAATAAAGGCGGGAAACGGAAATTTGAATCGGAAAACGGCGCGCTGTGTAAGCGAATTAAGCGCCAATTCGATCGGAACCAGTGTTTCTGTTGTAGCAGCAAGGAAGTGTGTGCGTAAGAAAGAGAGAGAGAGAGAGAGCAAGAGTTCGAAGGCATTATAAAAACGAAATAAAAAGGTAAATTCACTCTTTATGACCCACTTGAACAAGCTCTCATCTACTGTTTCTGTATATTTAAAAGCCATTACAATGGCAATGGCAAATAGAAATCGGAAAATCGTGTTGATGACAGTTTCTTATCGATAGGCGTCCATTTTGGTTGTTTTTCTTTTCTTTTATTTCTGCCCTGTGAATAAGTGGGCCTTTCGTTACATTTTATTCGTTTTTCTTTTCTCAAGTATTGTTCCACTTACAGATGTCATAATATGGGGTTTGCGTGCAAAAGGGTGCGTCACAAATCAAGACGAGACTGCGACCAACAAGTGCAACATCAACACAAGCCAAACGAAGCGAAAGTCGCATTAATCGAAAATTGCGTTGATCGTTCATCAAATTTGATAATATTGCGAAAATTGAGCCGGCGACAACCTGCCAAAGATCGATTCGCCCGGCAAACAATCAACGAAATACTGAATCCAACCAATACAATTGCAAATTCGGCAACAAGAGATGACGAAGATGATATTGATAGCAACCCATTCGAAATTATGGACGATGAAAAAATGGTTGCAAGTTATTCAATCTCAAAATCGATTCCATCAAATCGACGTCAATCGCTAACGCCCTTTTTGGATCAAACGGAACACAAAATGGATTCGAACGAACGTCGGATGAGTTCATCATCGTTGTCGACAACAATGACGACAGCAGCAGCAGCGGCGACGGCGACAGCGATGGCAATGATGACGACAACAACAACGTCGACCACGACCACAACAACAACGACATCGACAACGAGCGAAAAAGTTCTGTGCCGTTGTGAGTGCGAAATTCTGTCAAATTTACGCGCAACATTTGCTGCTTCGCTTTGGTTTGCCGGCACCAATGCGATTTCGCGATTCATTCATATGATTAATTTTAAACGAAAAACTAATAATAATAATAATCACCATCTTCATCACATTTTCACATTGCCTCCGTCACACACCGAACTCGAAACCATCGCACCCACCAAAACTAAAACAAATACAACTAATAACCAAATGAAAACACAACATGGACAAAGCAGCGGCGGTAGCAGCAGCAGCAGCAACTTAAATAAAAGCGTGCACAATAAATGCGATGAAATTAAAAGTATTTATAATAAAGGTCATAACAATAGAAGTATTATAACGAGTAGCCAGTGTTTTATACGACAATCAGTTTGTTTATATGCGGCATCAGGTTTTCTAATTGCATTGTGCTTTTTGGCGATACCAGCAGCAGCATCAATCGATTCATTGCATCCAATGTAAGTAAACATTTTACGGTATTATCAATCACTCTTTGTTGACCACTTCACTGTTGTCATTTGCTTTTGTTTACCTGCAACACCTCTCAATCAATTTTTATGTTCACACATCCCCCGCCATTCATTGCGTATATATATATAGGCATTTGATTTTATTTCAAAATCCAATTAATCGGTTTATTTTCGTCATTATTTCGGTTGACAGTGCTAATCAATTGATGAATGAGCGAACTAATTCCCGAGGACGACGCACTTTTTCTAGTAGCGCTTTTCATCTCCGGTATTTCAGTCAATGTGTGTACGTATGTCTCTCCCTGTGTTCGTACGTATGTAGGTGTGCGTGGCGCTCGTTTACAATTTCATTTCCATTAAAATACAAATATCCAAAATATTCGCATGCATTCGAATTGCAGTTAATGATTTTACAAGCCAAAAATGTGATTGAATGGCATCATGAATCACACAGTGCTGTTTTGAGGTTATTTTGTGCCATTTTTCGATTAACCGCACACGCTCATTCCAGAATCAATTCATTTCGAAACTAATGTGTGTCAAACTCCATTGTGAAACAGCAAATTCAATTACTCAACCGTAACAAGTGATACCCCTTTTTCCCGTCCCTTGTCACTCATAAAACGTTTAAATATTTATTATTCCGGCCAATATGTGCGGTATTTAAACAAGAGCAAACCGAACATTGAAACGATTCAATCGAAACTAATACCAAGTGCGAAGCACGCTTCCAAAACATATTTGCTGCACCGAACTCTCTCTAACCAATGCGATAAATGATTTTTATGAGTCGAGAATGAAACATGTAAACCCGATTCGCAAAAGAAAACCCAATCGATATGTCGAAAATAAAAGAAAATCCATGATCTATTTAGCGCAAATGAATAGAATTCATGCATGACATTAGCGAAAATTCGTGCTCCAATAGGTTTGATTTGAATAGCAAGTCATCAATTATATTGGTCATATTATGCCATAGCAAGGAAGTTCGTTTTGAAGCAGCATACAAAGCCAACAATAACAACAAAAATAAATCATGAAAATAAAATCATCATGAAAATGACAGAAACAAATGAAGAAGAAAATAAATTAAGCAACGGAATGCTATATATGAATGTTGTTTATTTTTGATGTGATTGAAACAGAAAGTAATGCAATACAAAGAAAACATTGAATCAAAATAGCAATTTTGGGTACACTTGGCTCCTACCTAGACCTATATATTAAACTAAACTTGTCAAGCGCATTTTTTGTGTGTTCGTTTGGTCGTTTGCTTGCTTGAATTTCGCTTTTCGGTATGTTATCCTTGAAAATTTCGTTTTCACATAAATTTCATCGCTGTGTAATATAGAGGAAATGCTGTTTGTGCAGTGCACTTGGTTGTTTGGTCTTAGACACCAAATGAACAAATACACACAGACGGACGGGCACGCGCACACATGAAACACATATGATTTTAGTTTCTTCGATGAAAATCATTTTTTGCATGATACGAGCCACACATTCACAACACAAGTAACGGCCACAGGGCGATTTTCCTTTCAAATCCGGTAACACTCTTACTACATGAAATCGAGTGAGAAACTGACAAATACAAAAGACATGCCACTTTTCAGCTGATCGTGACGGGAATGCTTTCGCCTTCAAGCGAAAAGTACTTTATCGCATGTTGAACAAGAGTTTGAAGCCATTTGTTGAACACCCTACGAACCAGTGAATACGTATGTTTACACATACGCGCGCGTGGTGTGTATGAATGCAGTAGTGTCGGCATCCCATGTGTGTTGGACGGTGTACGTAAATAAATTATGTATACGTAAATTTCATCGCACACATAATTATGCCAAATACCTCAAATAATGCAAGCGAGATGTTGAAAAACATAAAAGTGTCAACATCAAAAAATGAACGGAAAGAATATAAAAAGAAATACACACACATACTCACAAACATGCGCGGGCACTGAGTCTAATGACGAAAACGACGTCGGTTTTGTTTCTCTCCTGCTCTCTCCCTCCCTCTCTCTCTCTCTCTCTCTCTATCTCTCTCGTTTTCTGTGTGAAGGCATGTTATTGTCGCCGCACTTATGCTTGTACACATATTTAAGAGTCAATTATAGCGTTGTTACTCTTTCGTGATATTGAACGACTGCGTCTCCTGTTCTACTTTTTCTTTGCTACTATATTTCGTTAATAGAAACAAATCGTGGCTGGCGCTGGTTATTCTGCTTGTTTGTTACCAAATAAACTAGAATCCATTTGCATACATCTTAACCTTGCTATTCAATATAAGTTATCGCACACAGTCATCATTTCGTAGTTTTTCTGTTCTTTCTCACTCTGTTACCCTCTCTCGTTCGCTACTGCTATGTATTCTTTCTGCATTCGTGAAAAAACAACTTGAACAATTTTCAATGTTTTCAACGATCTAGATGGTTACCAACTATTTGAGTATTCGTGTAGGTCACCATTTACATTAATAGGCGCTATTTTGTGCAACTTAGACTCACTTTTATGCACAATGTCATGAATCGACCTATTACGAACGCAAAAAAGCGATTAAAGAAAGAACGAATGAAACAAACAAACAAACAATATTGCATTTCGTGAATTCCTTATGCATTTTTTGCACGGCAAAACACAGTGAACAGGATTACCCCGTTCAATTTGCATTCGAATCCTTTTGTCATGAGTTTATTTTCAACATATTATTTTCATTTCAACTTTTATTTTTCCTTTTGCATTCATTGGATTTTACTTTCGCATTTACAAATCAGGTTGTTCATTGATGTTGTTGTTGTTGCTGCACATTTGAGATCCCATTTATATGTTCACTTTTCTCCTGACCTGTGACCTTTTTCGTAAACGATTTAACCGAAATGAAATTGAATAAATATGTTTTATTTTTTCTTTCTCTCCTTCTTACTCGCTCGCTCACTTCAAATGGCCTCTGAAAACGCTGTATAACTCGAATCTTCTGTATATGGGCTGTCAACAGATTCGCCGAGGGAAAATCCGATAAGGAAATATTAGATCATCTGTTAAAAAATTCACGTTACGATAAAAGACTTTTACCTCCAGTTGATGGTAAGTTTTTGTAGCCATTTTTTTTGGCGACTTAAAGCAAAAATGAAAAAGAAAATAAGTATATATATTTCGTTACCTTGTGTATGACTGTCTCGTATGTATGCGTTATTGATAGCTTTGCCGTTATTTTGCCTAGTTTTTCGTCTTTTTTATATGAATTTTCTCGTAGCTTCGCTGTCTTTCTCCCAGCTCCGGTTTATGTTTTTTTCTTTACCCACATCCGTCTCCAGGATATGGGGGCACCAAATCTGAAAAATTGGGCATGACTTATGTGTGTATGGAGAGAAAAGCAACGAAAACAAAGCAAAAAAAAACAAACTAGTCGAGTGATCACAAGCTAAAGCTCAAACGCACCAATAATAAAGTCAATTCAAGTATATTTACTTTGCTAACGAGGTACTTTTCTGTGTAGACAATTCAATAGAGCCAAGCCGAGCATACTTTGCGTCAGACAGGCGCTTTTTTTCATAATGCTGGTAAATTATAAGCCTTATTCGTTGTTAACTCCAGACCTGCAGTCATTTCCATGGTCAAAATGTACACATACACACACACCGATCCGAACATCAAATGTAGACATTAAAAAAAAGGATCATGAAATATTCGAAAGACCGTCTCTTATTACATATAATTTCTTATTACGACACACATGTTCGACTTTAAATCCCAAAAAAGGAGATGCGAAAATGGAAAAAGAATACGCACGACAGACTGAGAATCCAAATTGACTCCAATCAAAATCCCATTTGAGAAGCGCAGGTCTGGAGTTGATGCAGCCGAAAAAGAGAAAGTTTCCATTTTTCTCAATAATTTTAATTATCCTAATCGCCAAAGTTGCGCACTTTATTCGAAATAATCAAGTCATAATTGTTATTTTTTCTTACTGGTTTTTACTTCTTTTTTTGGCTTGTTAAAGTTTTGAAGCCCGGCTTCTTTTTTTCGCGTATTTCTCTCCTACTCCATCAAAATCTACATCTCACTTAATTTACACAGAACATCGGCTACTCTTGATTTTCGACACAACAACAGCAACAACATCGTTTCGCTCTCGTTTCTACACATTTATACACACACATACACGCCCGTAACAAATTGCTATCAACATCGTCTTCCGGGTAGTTCGTGTAAAGCAAACATTTTAAGTAATTTTCTTGGAAAACTAGCAGAAAATCTACAGCTATGTTAATTTGAATTATGGACGTTTAGTATCTTCGCTTGGATGTTTGCAAATAATTCTATATCTCAATTTCCTTCGCTTCCTATACATTGTTACACTCGCCCTATCTCTTTCTTTCGCTCATTCGTTTGTGGCTCACGTTCTCTCAGCTCTCGCATTCTTTTGCTCCGTTTTCTTTTTTCCAATTCCAAACGAAATGAAACGAAATGCTGTAGCACTTATATTACTGTAAATATAAAAATGCCGTCAAGTTTCGCATGTAAATTTGTTTTTAAATTCTCATGCTATTCAATTTGTTCCACGCAATTTACTACACAAATTTTCACAGATTTTCTTTCGCTAATAGACTTTTTCCAAGTACATTTTTTTACCCACTTTTCTCTCTCTCTCTCTTTCTCCCTCGTTCACTCTTACTCGCAATTTTTTTCTCGTTCTCTCATTGTTTCTCTTTTTCCCTCTATTTCGCTCATTTTCATTTCGTTTGGACACACAATTTATACATCAACTCCAATACAACTCACTCAATATGCTAGACTGGGACGGTTTTGCGTGTGTGTGGTACGCGCGCACTACGTCGAACCGGTTAGTGGTTGTAGTTGTATTCTGTACCACTGAAACATTTTTAGTATCGTGTCGGGGAATAAGTCATAAAAATCAATATAATTGCGTGCCACTGGCATTTTTATGGACACAACTGAAGGGGGGGAGAAAACTGAGAAAAAGAAGAAGAAGAAACAAGAAAAAAATAACACGGCGAAATAATGAGCTCATGAGCAATGAGCCATAAGTTCGTGGGCATATATGAGCGCGGCCTATCAAACAAGTTACAAAAGAAATACGTGCTTTGCTTAGAGCTGGGCTCAAAATAGTGTGCACATTGTGATGGTATTTTCTCGGCTGGTTTCTCTCTCTTTCTCTCTCTCTCTCTCTCTCTCTCTCTCTCTCTCTCTTTTGCTTTCACTCTTCCTCTTTCTCTATGTGTGATTCTCTATTCCATTCACTGTGTAGCCGTGAGAGCAGATGTGCAACAACTAAGCACCATGAAAAATTGCCTAATTTCAACCACAAGAAACACAACCGTATTAAAATTAAAATAATAATGTGTCGTTCTGGGAGCGCTTACAGCTGCTCTGCTGTCCGAAACTTTTCACACAAACGCGCACACACACACACACACTCACATATGCAATGCATACACAGATTTTATGCTGTGTATTTATTATGTTTAGCCAACATGGAAACCAACTAAGAAAAAAACAACGAAAAAAAACTAAACTGAAAATAAAATAAAAGGAAATATACATAGAATAATTTCATTGCATGTGACTTGGCTTTTTGCGCTCCCACCAGTTTCTTCGGTTCTCCCAAATTGCCACCCAAATAATTCCCAAAATTTCAATTGAAGCCTGCATGAGAGAATCGTCATCGTGTCCGGTTCACAAGCATCAATATTTGTTTATATTGTTATGGTGTATTTACCTTTCATAAAGCCAACAGTTTCCTTTTGTTATCTTACCTAATTGGTTTCATTGGCCGTAAACCGACCAAATTATATTGACAACAATGTCGAACTGAATATATATCGGCTTAGGCTCTAAAATGATGATGGAAATGAATGCAAAGCTTTTGCCAGTATATTTTTTGATTCATACACAATACACATGTATCGTTTCGAAACTAATTTCACAATGATTCCAATGGAAAATTATTTGAATATTGTTCATTTTGTTGCGGTCGCAATTATTACTTCGTTTTTTTCTATCCCTTTTTCTCTATTCTTACCCACTCCATCCCCGTTTTGTGGGCTGACCGATGAAAGTAATTTGTTTTTGTGCCACTACAAGAATGTCATTAACGCCATATTTATTTGTATGGCGTAATTGGTTGCGACCAAAGGACTGCTAATTACTATTGCGTTACTGCACCAATTCTTTGTCTCTCTCTCTGCTTGTCCTAAATTTCATTTTTATTTAATTATACAAATATTTGTAGCGAAATATAAACGAAATGTTAAGCTGCGTTTTCGACTGCAAGTCGACAACAACCGATCCGCTTGTTGTTGTTGTTTCATAAAATGAATTGAATTGGTTGAGTGTTATTTCTTTTTTTCTCGCTTCTCTTTCTTGCTTCGTCATCCAATTGAATGCTCATGCAAAGCATGAAACATGCACGACACTGTGCATGAGCTGCAAATTAGACTTGTGCCGCATTTTGAGCTGTAGCCATTCATTATATTCGTACAAAACGCAAAAACTGAATTATTTCGCAATGCCGATTTCACTTCAAGTAATTCACCATTTCCTTGTTCGCACGCAAAATGTGTCGCTTGGAAATCACATTTTCACGTATTAACTATGAATCCATACGAACATACATACATGTATATATTCCCGTCCCGAAAATTCGACGACAATATCAAATTGGTACAATTCAACATTGTGTTAATGCTATTAATTCGCTTAGTGGAATAAAATGGCTGTTTACGTAGATAATACTAAAAATACACCCGAAACAATGTAAGTAGCTTGCTTATCTTGTGTATGCACTAAACGTACGATGCTTTGTTTTTAAATGAGACAGTCAAAACAAATGAAGGCATCACACATCCAGCTCGACAAGGCAAAGAGAGAGAGAGAGAGAGAGAGAGAGAGAGAGAACGAACGTATCTTCGCTAGGCAGAAACTGATTCATATGTCAGTTTTGAAATGAATACAATTGAATATTTTATAAGCAAATCAACGCAAAATTTTGCCGAAACACAAAGCAAACTTTTCTTCATTGCAATCTTATTTTCCACGCTACTGTGTTACTGAACATTACTGCAATTCCCAATTGCATGTTTCGCATCATCGTGCACGGAAATGTTCCAAGTCATGTTCAGAGCGGTGGTCGTGCTTAACATTGCCAAAAACCCGGTTCATTTCATTCGTCGAAATATAAACAAATCGATGTGTTTGCAACACACACTGTACACAGTTTTCGTTGTCTCCGCAATGCATTGATTTGAAACACGGTATCCACAAGTTGACCATAACAGCAGCAATAGTTGTAGAAACGTACATTAACAGAGTTGTTGCTATCCCTTCCGTCGCTTCATCGGTAAATGTGGTCCAGAAGTTGTGTACATACTTTGTAGAAAAGTTTTCTTGTGGACTTTGCACAATGTACCGACTACCGACACACGAAAAAAAAAGAGTATACATTTCAAACATAACTCAACGATCGTACTTTTTCTGATGTCATCCAATATAACTTCGACACAAATACAACTCAAATAAAACATAACACGAATTGTATCATTAGCCGTACCAGGGAATGTTCGTTTCCGTATAACGGTGCGAATTAATCTCATTTTCATCGCTGATGTTCACGCCGCCGATTCATAAATGTAATTACTTTGCGAAACAGTTAATCGTAGTTGAATATTCATCGTAATGGCGCGGTTGCGTTTATGTGATTTGGACATGAAAATGACTGACATCCATCTTCAGTTTTGATTACGGCGAATAAACAATGTTCATTCGAGATGAAAATTAAAATATATGGCTTCACTTCCATTCGGCTTTCAATCCACACACAACACACACACACACCGATACACATTTAGGCGAAATACTATTCGGAATCTATATTCACGAAATATGGAAAATTTTCGTACATATTTCAATTAATTCTATTCCGTCTCCCTGCCTATTCTGCATTTTCCTCGAGCAACCTCGTTTTTGATACAATTTCGATGCCATACAGCATTCATACTAGAAATGTACAAATTAATCAATTCCAATGTATTCCTATCCAATTTTGTGGAAATTCGTATTTTTGAAAAGCTTTGGCTTATTTTCAGTGTGGTTTTCTTGTGAAGCACGGAGATCACTCACTCTCGATTTCCCTCGCTCATCCGTTGATATGACATTTGGTCTATGACAATCGAGATTTATTACATATGTATATGTACATGTTCAACGTAAAATGATAAAAAATATTCATCGTATCTCCCCTACAATTGATCTTCCTTCTGTTCAATCCTAGTATTTCAGTGCATTTTATATGGGACGATGCCATATTATGAAAATGCAAATAAACTGTTGTCTCTAATTTTCAGTTATTTCCATCCGCTAGACTAGAACACTGTCATTTGGATAAGAGTGAATATGTCTCTAATAATCATAGCCCATGATTAGATAGAATAAATGGCAATTTCTGAATTTTTCAATATTTTTCTTCGATTTGAACTATGAGAAAAATTCTTATTTTCAACCGAAATTTTTGTTATGGTTTCCCGTCAAACCAAAAATCGTGTAATAAAGACGAATTACTTTGGTGTTATGTAAAAAAATGATTAAAAAAACAAATAAATAAAATAAAATGCTAATGAAAAATTCAAATCTCGCAACAACAACAAACAAAGAAACAAATATTATTTGTGCAATTTCCAATTTTATTTGCAGATGCCGATTTTTGCTGTGGTATGGATACGCCTGAAAAAGCTAAAAATGTATCTGGTTGGCTACCTGGGCGCGCACAAAATCGTGGTGCGTTCCATTTTCCAAAATTTACCCAAATCAAAAGCGATTAATATACCAAATTAACACAACACGATGAAACAATGTCTGCAAATAAAAAAAATACACACTCAATGATTGCAGACATTCACATTCACACACCTACACAAACACAAACACAAATACATTTATAGTAGTGCACAATGGCTGCGTAGTTATATTTATTTAAAACCAATAATTTGAATTTATTTTCCAGACACAAATTGCTTTTTTGACTTCCGCTCAATATTTTAATTTCGAGCTGGTGAGACGTAGACGAGAAAATGTTGTGCAATTTTTTATGGCATCCTTTTTTTCGTAAGCATAATGATGATAAATTGCAAGCGTCATTTTTTATGATCATGTTAAAGTGTAATAAATGAGCTGAAAATATTTTAAATACCGTATTGTGCTCTTAAAAATCCGTCGTATTGACCATTGAACAAAAAGTGAAATTGCAAATGACATAGGCACTTCTACATCTCACCACATTTCAAATATTTTAATTTCGAATGAATTTGCATTTATCCTCGTTTTTTTATCCTCTGTCCGCATTGTTCGGATATTTGATGGGGCAATCGAGAAATTTAATTATAATTTTTGGGATTGTAGCGACAGCAATTTTACAATATCTATGAATTATGAAGCAAACAACAGGGAAATACATGACGCAATACGAACATAACCGAAAATGAATGCCATTCAAACCAACGGAAGATAACTCAATTTTTGGACTTTTCGTATCGTGTATGAAAAAAAGGAGCATGAGAAATGGTTTAAATGAAATTTGCCACAGATACTAATCCGGGTTTTTTTTTTACTTTCTCGGTTGGCATTTGTTTAATTTTTCCTGTGCTTTCGGTTTTTTGCTTTATGAATGATACTCACGTACGTAACGGACAAGGTTAGATGACCCGCAGAAATCCCAAGACAAATGGAATTGTTTGAAAACGCTTTAGTTGGTTTCATGTTGCTCATCCTCTTCTCCATCTACTTCTTCTTCCATTTCCATACGTTGGTAGCCATTCATCATTTTTTATTATTTCCTCTGCTCCAGAATAGAGTATGTCTAGGTGAAAGTGTATCGTTTGTAATAGAAAACGTGAGCATACGAAAAACCAAAATCATTTCTATGGACGATCCTAGTGCTATCCGGAAATGTTGTCTTAAATTCCACGTCACACACATAATCAATTGACATAGTTGCATGATATTTTGTTGTATACCAACTTGGTGTCACCAAGGAAGAAACGACGTTACTTTTGATACTTGAAACCCGTAAGATCGCATAAAATCAATGGTTGATTCGGAGAATATAAATATCTCACAGAGTATTTTGCCATGTGTAGTATGCCAGTGTAGTTAGAATAGAAAACCATCGGATGAAATTCCATTTCTATAACACGGATGCATCTGTGTCTAAATCAATGAAAAAAAAACTTGTATCTGCGCAAGAATTTTTGGGGAATGTTCGATTCGACCATTGGTGTTGTAATAAATAATCTTAAGTAATTTCTGGTGGCAATTGTAACAAATCATAAAAGTACACAGACTCATTCATATATATTAAATTAGTGCAAATATGTCAAGCGAGTGGTTCAATGAGCTTTAAAGAGCTTAAGTTTGAAAGCGACGGTTTAGATTTTAGATTTTGTAAGGTAAACATTGAGCACAAAAGCTTTACAAGATTTCTTTTTTTCATTTTTCCGCCCTCTCTCTCTCTCTCTCTCACACTTTGTGTGTGCACCTTATTAAAGACGAAGCAACGGGATATTTGATCAAAAACTGCAACTTCACTTAATGAGCAACGAAAACTGTATATGTCTTTTTCATTTGCTTTGGTTGCCAGCGAGAAATTCGCTTTTATGGTCTTACATCTTACCATAAATTATAGTCTTTAATGGTTCACAATGGGCTTCATATCATTTTTTTTGCAACGAAATTTCATCGTTTTGTTGTTACTTCTCTTTCGTCCTAGCTACTGTGCCTTGCAATTAATATATTTTCACATAGAGCTCACACGCCCACATGCACACACTTACTTTATTTCCATACACGTGGTGGTACGGTACAATGAGAGAATTTTGTTGAAAGCTGCGCTACAGTTTCGACAATAAATCAATTTGGAAAATGACCAAGAAACAGCATCGTGTCAAAATGATAGAAGACGATAAGCAAGAGCCAACAACGACTGTGAACCAAACTGTTTTTACTGCAACAGAAATTCGATAAATGAAACTACAAAAGTCGTTGATTGGCAGTCACCAAACCAAACACAAACTATTTCGGCAAATTCGTTTCGATATTCTTACGTTCGGCTTGTTTTTCTTTCTCTTATTTTTTCTCTATCATCCACTTTCTCCTTCCTTCATGTCACCATTCCAAATACAATGAACAATTACGAAAAATCAACCAAATTGTTTACTCAAAACACTCATCGAAAGCAATTCCGTTTGCAATTTAGAGAAATACCGAAAGCGGAAAACACCATTACACCATTTGCGCACTGTTTCTTCTCTTTTATTTCTTCTATTGTAATGTCTTTTGTAAGCGGAGCCTAGTTCAATATTTTCATTTTGTTTTGCAAGACTTATCGTTCGTAGTTCGAAAGTATGAAGATGTTTTCAAGTAGAGTACACTTTCTTTTTTACTTTTCCATTTCTGTGAATGTGAAAGAGTGTGGATGTGAAAGGAATTTAAAATTTCAGACGAAAAATGTGCGTTCTTCATTTCACATTTTATTTTTATTTCATATAGATGTGATATGACTGTAATGCGTCACGATTAAAATATGAAATCCTTATATTTTAAGACACGTTTTCAAATTATTACATTTTGAATAGCAATACAAAATACTCGATTTCCCACCGATAAGAACAAAATACGGTGGAAAGTAGCGATACACTGTGGAATTCGGCCACATTAAAAACGTAAAATGACCTACAAAATGTCGAAAAACTTTCATTTGCTCATTCAAAGTTTCTAAATTTAAAAGTTTTCTTCTTTCACGTCATGTTATTTTTAAATGTCGTTGTCGACGACATTGGTTTTCACCTCGCAACTTTGCCCATTAATACTTGTCTGCGGTTTCCGTCTGCAATTGCAATCGTTAGGATAAAACTTTGTCGCATACAGTAAGCTAATGTACCGAAAATAGACAAGTATTAACGTTGTATATTTGAATGTTTTTCCGTTCCTTTCCTCGTTCTATCTCTCTCTCCCATTCTTTCTCTCTCTCCAGCAAACTGTGGCTATTTGGGACATTATCGGTTTAATTTTTCTCGCTCTTTTTCACAATAAGACCAATTTATTTAGGACATCTTTTATTTCTCGATCAATTATTAAAAACCTTAAATGGCTAAACCGAACCCAAAAAAGCATTTTTCCAATTTCATTAGAAAATATTTAAAAATATTTAAAATTTATATATTTGTGTGGTCAACGGATCCAATTGAAAGAAAGTTAATTTGAATGAGAGAGAGAACGAGAGAGTTGTGGATAATTTTCCATATGAAAAATAAATGCAATTGAAAAATCCATTCGGTGAAATTATACTAGTGAACGTATCCATGCTCAAATTCCAAATAACCGTTGAAATTTTCGGATTCAAAATAATTGGAAAATTAATGAAGAACCCTTGAAATTGACAACCAAACCATTGTGTTGTATATTGTTTGACACTTGATATTTCCTGCTAACATTGCTGCGTTGTTCAAGGCTATAAATATTTTCTGGGCTTCGCCGCCCTCCTCACACAACACACACACACACACGCACACATTCTATCCAAGCAAAGTCGATTGTGCTGGTACTATTTTGAATTTTGCTCGCTTCGAAAACTTTTCTATTTACATTTCAAAATGTATGCTTATAAAATTGGTTAGTTCGATCGATTTTGGCATGAGAAAAGCAGTTCCTCGTGCATTATTTAACTGTACCCACATAGGATAGGTACACATATATATAGGGAAATTATTGATTCTTCTCTAAATAAATTAGTTTGGAAGTAAAATCTTCTCTGTCTTTCGTCTTTCTCTCTCTCCCGCTCTCACTCTTTCAATTCTCTTGACAATCATCAGATTGATGATACGTTTGCACAAAGCTTGTAATGCCAAAATATATTCCTTGTATTTTCATTGCAGACACGTTGACTGTTAACGTTAGTGTACTTCTACTTAGCTTAGCGTCTCCGGATGAATCGAGTCTGGTAAGTCACATAAACACATACACACGCATACATATGGTACGAAACGCAAAAATCTCGTTCGTCCATTGTTATCCCCATCGGTTAAATAATCGCCGTTTGATGTCGTAAGAAATAATAGTGTTTGACCGAAAAAAACATATTGATTTTAATCGCATTTGATCCGACAACCATACCCAAAATGACCTTTAAACCGAAAACAACATATTGGCAAAAATATGAACCAAATATGAATGGTTTGGAGCAAAAATGTAATACAGAAAAGTTGAGCGGAAAAATGTCGATGATGAATGAGCGGAAAAGGGATAGTAAACTGTATAGTAAACTATAGTGAACTATATAGCTATCAATTTTCATTTGACATTTTTCCGCTCAACTTTTCTGTATTACATTTTCGCTCCAAACCATTCATATATCCCAGTCGGTGGAGTTTTCCTTCTAAAAACGATACACTTATGAATGATTTGTTCAAATGGAATGCTCGAGCGGAGGAACAAAGAACCATCTTAGCAATCTGTAACAGTGGCACTCTCGCATTGAACGTTCATTTTCACAAAATGAACAAAAGCAGAAGATGAGAAAAAAAAGTGAGAGAGAAGAATATGAAAGCGAAAGCGAAACGACACAGCAAACATATTGATTGAACGAAGAAAAACGAAGCTCATAAAAGGAAACATGAATTTCGAATGAACACATTAAAATAATATCTTAACCCCCGACTCTACACGCTCCCAATTTTCCATATCAAATAGAATTTGATTGAACATCGTGGAGATCATCACACAGGGTGCGCGTGAAGTGAAGAGGGAAAAAAAGAATAAAATAAAACGGCATCATGTTAAAAAACAAAATCAACGAACACATCAGCAGCAGCAGCAACAACAACATCCATACAAAATGCTCTCTCCCTTTTGCTGTCGCAATTTGTGAATATATTTGCATTTTGACTGTGTAAAAGCGCTAAGCGTCGGCTTGTGCATTGTAATGAACGTACTCAGAAACATAATCGTACCATCACCACCATCTCCATCGCCATCGCTATCATCATCATCATCGTCACCATAACCTACCCGCCAGCATTGCTGAAGGGCTTGTGTGACTCAAAATACTGTTCGTCCTTCACATCGTAAATTCACATATTGGCAGCTAGTAAAATAATAATTTTTAATCTCTTAACTTTTTCATTAGACATCGGAAATGTTATGCGAGGGTGTGGTGTAAAATGGACAATGAGAAAAAACGAAGCGACAAAAAGTAAAGTGGTTGACACTCTGGCATTTTTAGTTAAAATCCAATTGTAATATATGTATTATGTTGCATCGTACGCTGTGTGCCCTTCGGTCGTGCTGATCACTTTTTGCATTGTTGGCCACCAACCACTTTGCGTGTAATGAGATTGTAGAGATAAAAAAGATATGCTCTCCATGTTTCCTTTGTTCGCGTACCGTTAAAATACGGCAAGCATGCCATTTCGTTCAAAGTGTCGATAAAGTGATTGTTGTTTACTTGCTAGTTAGTCGATTTGCGCCACACAAACTGGAAATGGCATCACGTTTTTTGCTCACTTTTGGATGGTTGATTGGTTGGTTGTTTTTCTCATCATTTTTCTCTTTTTGTCTTGTTTCTCTCATTCCAGAAATATGAAGTCGAATTTTTATTGCAACAACAATGGTACGATCCGCGACTACGTTATGCAAATCAATCGCAGTATGAATATTTGAATGCGATCCACCATCATGAAGAGATATGGTTGCCTGACACCTACTTTATAATGCATGGTGATTTTAAGGATCCAATTATCCCGATGCACTTTGCACTACGAATTTATCGGAACGGCACAATAAACTATTTGATGAGGTTCGATATCTGCTTTTTGCATCATATACATACATCAATTGTTCAAATCGGATAAATCATTTTGAATTCCAATCACATTGCCATTGCAACGCTGCACGGCATGGATTTTGTGAAATCGTTGTGTGGCACTCTGCGGTGGTTGACACGATTCGTATTATGCTACTTCGGCGAGTGGTCTCAATTCGATTCGATTAAATCCCCCCTTAAGTTGCTTGATTCCCAAATGCAGCAAAACCAAAATTGGAATGAAAAGAAACAAGAAACCCGATTTCGGAGAGAGATCAGCAACTCGTACACACGTACCTCTACACAGCTTGAGAGCGCACGCAGCGATTTCAATTCTTCGCAATTTTGGGTATTGTAACACGATGTTTCATTTCGTTTCTTTTTCTCTCTCTCTTTCTCTTTCTCTCTTTTTTTCACTTTACAGACGACATTTAATTTTATCGTGCCAAGGACGCTTGAATATATTTCCATTTGACGATCCCTTATGCTCATTTGCATTAGAAAGCAGTAAGCACACTCTGTTTTTTTCATTCACATTTTTTACCATTTTTTTGTCATTAATTGTGTATGTGCTGTGACTGTGCTAGCAAAATGGAGCAATTGCTGCACGGAGATATACAGCAACATGTAAACGTAGAAAAAAAAACACTGTAATATATGTATAGAGTTGGTAGTTTCATAACGTGTTTTAATTATTGTTCCCTTATAATTTCAATAACAAAAATTTAAATTTCAATTCTTTCCACTTACTTGGCTGTTTTCGTTTCTTTTTGCGTATCTGCATAATAATGCAACGACAACGTAATAAACAAACACTGTTTGTACATCCTCTATCATCGATTGCCGCTGTCGATGTTGCTGTGTACGCTGTGTCTGTGTACGGCATGTATCTCTCGCTCTCTTCCCATTCCGGCCGTGTGACTGCCGATGGAACGATGATGTCCATTTCAACAGTATCGTATGAATTATCGCATATAACATATGTTTGGAAGAACGATGAGGATACTTTACGTAAAAGTCCATCCTTAACAACACTTAATGCATATTTAATACAAAATGCAACAACTACGTGCCCGATTAAGGCTAGCTGGCGAGGTAAATTTAAAATATATACACACACAATTTCATACCCACAAAAACCATTATGATCCACCATATTATTGCGTCATATATTTTAACCTACACTTCATCAAAATGAACACGGATGATGGAATTTCGGTTCATTTTCGAGGAGCGAAACAGCTGTGTGTGCGTGTGCTTTCTTTCTTTCATTCATTCTTTCTTTCGTCCGATTGGCCATCGTTTCGGCGTGCGTGTACTATGTGTTTCTCATTTTTCGAAGTCATGCCATACATCGAGCGGCAAATGCTTAAATCAAATGATTGTAAGAGCACAAGAAGCGACGTGAAGTTTGTGTAATTTGCAGCGTTAAGTGGAAAATTTCGTTTAATATTTATCAGTTTTCGAAAAAGGATCGACAGTAATCGGGCTCAGCCGAATGCGTACATTCGATTCCATCAGTGTTTTGTGTGCGCTAGGCTGCGACTGCTTTGCTCCCATTGCAGTTATAAAGAGTAACAGCGAAAAACTTTTATGCACATACGGTGCCCAAATATACGATAGTGCCCGAGCTGGGAAAATCGCTTATCAAAGGTTACGCCAGTTTACTCCATAAACAATCGATTTCGAAAGATTTATTATTCCCCGAGCATGCAGTTGTGGGAAATTGTGAAAAATGGCCGACGAATTCGAGATATCTTCAATATGTGGCGTTCCACACTTCATTTCATATGCAAGAAATATGAAACAAATACATCGATTCCGCATGCATTATAAAAGTTCAAAGGCATTGGTTTGGTTGCAGTTTTGAAAGCTCGACCGAACCAAACTCCCGCCTGGACGCTCTGCTCTGCTCAATAAAAACTTGTTCAAGTAAAATGACGGAGCACTGGAAGAGACGACATTATTACCGAATCCGGCAAAGATTGCACATATTATATCCCGAACGCCATATCCTTCATTATTCATTTCGTTTTAATGAGAACCGACTGAAACGCATGAACATTTTCGGTGTACGTATGTACATTAGCTGCGAAACGATTTGCGAAAATATGAAACCATAATAAGCTTTCTATGTATAAATGAGTAATCCGTTATGTACCTATGTCCCAATGAGATCGAATTTGACATTTGTGCTTGCTGCTCTTGCACACATTTTATTTGCATTTCAAACAAGCGGAAGTTCACTGAAGATTCATGGCTAAACACCTCCTTGTGATTATTATCAGCTATGCGATCACGTCATTATACTTTGATTTCATTCGTGTGCACACATCAAAAAGCTCGAAAATGATCCATGAGCTGCTGTACATTTGTGTGTTTGTATCTCGGTTGGCTTTGGGCTCATAGCATATATTTTTTCAATTTATTAATGGCGATCAACAATTTATTTTCAAAATTTACTGTGCGCTCAAAAGTTAATTGAATAGAACGGATGTGTGACGCAGAACAAAACCTCCAGATAATACACCGCAGAATTTGTTATAAGTCTTGTTACACACACATCCACCGCAATCACTGAAGATGACGACAACGACGGCAAAGACTCCGGATCTCCATTGATACCTTTTTTCCATATCGTATGATGTTGAATTTTTTACTTGAAAAGCAATCGTACACCGAATATGCGATTGCATACATTATAAAATGCTGAAACAATTATGCAGAATGATTGGTGAATCGTGTTTGAATGTACTAAGTATACGAATGAGGTGAAGGGGTGATATACGGTGAACGACGTATCTTTTAGCTTAGTTTTCACTAAATGCCAAATGAATAATGAATCAGTTGGGTGAAACATTTACGAAATGCGCCTGCAATTACTGTGTGGCAACTCGGCGGCGACGTCGACGACGATAGCAATTGCAGTCAGTTGCAATGGTGGAAAAGGAAGTAGCCAACCAAATGAGTCGCACTTTTCGGTTGAAAGAAAGGAATGAGTCTGACAAATTGGCTGATTAAAATCGGAAAACAAAATGTGAATGGCCGCTTTGCTCTGCACCACACAATACTGCACCGGAATGAGTTGAACTTTTGCCTAATTTAAATGTCCGAACTGAAAACCGAATTTGCGATATGAAGCGGCTGCACAGTCGATGAACACGAGCACATCGCGTTGCGTGTATATCACGTATGTACGTGATGTGTAGTGGCAGAGTCAGCCAGATTGAAATGAAATGATGTATTCAACAACGATGGCATGTTGAATATGAAACATGCACACACACACAAAATATGTGTCATTGAAAGTACCATTTGAAAATATACGGTTTTAACCGTGAATTAATTTATATTAATTTAATTTTCAGGTAATTACAGTTGCCTTAAGGTTGATCTCATATTCACTAGAGACCGAGCTTTTTACTTTACAACCGTATTCATTCCGGGCATAATTCTGGTTACGTCATCATTTATTACATTTTGGCTGGAGGTGAGTGTTTTGTTTTTACAATTGCCCAAAACGCCGTACAGAGAGAGATATATAGAGAGAGAGAGAGAGAGAGAGAGAGAGAGAGAGGGAGACAGGTGGAGGCAGGGGTGTGTTAGAGTGCGCCATCGTGCCATGTATGAGCGCATATAAATGTTGGTTGCTAGTCCCGTTCGCCCAACGTGTGCGTATCACCTCGTCTGCTAATAATAATGGTTAGGATTTAATGGCGATAGCAACGTAAATGGCAAACGCCAAATTTCGTTATCATGTCTCTGCTCTCTGTCTCTCTTTCTCTCTCTTGCTGCGTCCTGTACCAGCATTTGTTGTTTTTTTTTATCTATATTCATGATGTTGTTGCTGTGTGTTAGTTTCGTTATTATTATTTTTTTTTTTCTCCTCTCTCGACTCAAATTTCATGTTAACTTTTGCTGTTTCTTTCAATTTTTTTCGTCTCTCATCTTCTATTTACAGTGGAATGCGGTTCCAGCTCGTGTTATGATCGGTATGTATTGTGCATAATTTTGTCTACACAGTAAAAGTAAATATAGCCCAAAGCGATGCTACCGAATATGATCGGCTCGAAATGCAAGTCTTGAAAAATTCATTGCGCTGCTGCGCACGCGACCCGTGTGTTTGTGTATGATGTGATAGCTCCGGCCAGCCAGTCAATACAATGTATGACATGCAGAACATTCCAGGCGAAACATATAATTATCTATGACATGTGTGACATTTGCCGTTCCATGTATCATCGTCGTTTCATCCCCATCATCCAACGGTTAAAATATTCCGATTTTACCACAACTGCGGTTTCAGCGAATTTGCAATTTCATTTCTAAGATTCAACGTGATAAGTTTGTACAACATAGTAGTAAAGTGTTTTTTAACCTCCAAATGAAAGCGGTTGAGGAAAAAAATGAAGCGTTTCTGCCCACTCTCTGCCTCCTAGTTCCACGCACTCTACAAACATTATTCAATATGCATGAGCCAATTACGGGAGCATACAGTCCCATTTGTTTGCACAGTGCGTTCAAATATGTTTCGAATACGCTCAGAATACGAAATACAATGCGGAAAACTCGACTACCAACTATCAACAAGAGGCAGTCGAAAATGCACGCGCAACAACGACGATGACGACGACGGCGGCATTTATCGGATTTATCTGGACTCGAGTACTCATGGATTTTTATTATCAACTTTCAAAGTTTTATTTGGATAAATGGTTCAAATTGCACACGCTCTCTCTCTCTATCTCTCTGACTCCTTCTCTGTCTCCCAGTCTCATTCGCATTCAGTTAATTCGATTAACGCACAACCATTTAAATTAAAAATGGAATCACATTTTCAGCTTTCGTGGCGCCACACTCACTGGTGGAATATTAAAATAACTCTTTTGGGGCCACGAATCTTCAAGCACCATTTTCAAATGGAACGCAATGAGCAGCAGTCGAGTTGACATAACCCATTTTTTTGCGCGCGCTATGTCGTTTCATTCTTCTCGTGTGGCGGTGGATTCCGTTGTACAAAGAAACGATGGAGTGAACGGTTGAATCGAAATTTTGGCTCATCAAGATTTACCGAATCCCATTTTGTGTTGTGGTCAAACAAATGCGAAATTACATGAATGAGACGTGAAGGGAGAGCTGTGTGTGGCATACTCACGCTTTTATGATAACCGTAGACAGCAAACAAAACCAAGAGAGAAAAAAGAACGCAACGCTCAACCGTCGGTCGCCACCACCACACACCACCACCGAGACATTAAGTCAGTATTATAGCATTAATACTCTCATTCAGCCGTCCAACAAACAAAATCCATTGTAATCGCCAGATGCTTTTCGTCGACGATATATTTGATTGTGACAAATGGGCATTTCAAGGTTTTATTTTTATGATCTAATTTAACGTTATTCAAGATCAAACCCAGCCAATTTTTGTTTTCTCTCTTTCTCTCCAATCTTGAATGGAAATCTCCGTCGGTGTGCGTGTGAGTGTGCTGTGTCGGCCTTCTGCTTGCATGTATGCTTTGGTATTTTTGGTGACTGTATTTAAATCTTGCGGCGTCCATACTTCTGCTCATCGAATGGATGCAGACAGGCAGGAAGGCAGGAAGGCAGGCGCTGAGAGTTACCTGACGACAATCACATCCGAAGTCAGACCATAAAAGCACCAAATAATCTATACATGTGTGCAGTGTGTACGCGTTATGTATGCGCAAGTTAATAGGCGAAATGCCATACATTTAATTGGATTTAGCGTGCATATACTAATGACGTGACGCAATGGCATAACCATCAAATACGAAGGCGGCCACTATATCGATGTCACTCACAGTATTCTGCATATTGTCGTTAGAAAAAAGAACACACACACACACACGCCGAGCGTCCAGTGAGTGAGTGAGTAAGTGAAGAGGGAAGAAGACTTACCAAAATGCTGACGAGAATTGTTCCATGGTTTGCTGCTACAATTTTGCACATGGAATGACGAAAAACGATTATGCGGCAGTTAAAAGCTGCCATTTATTGTCAAAATCCAAGTAAACTCGACACATGTGAATGGAAAAAGTTTGTTCAACATTAGACCAAAAATTCATGGCTTCTCGTCAGTTATGCGATGCTGCATGGCTTGGACCGTGTACACTACACACACACCGTCACTGCGATAAGATTGACCGAATTTATTAAAATAATTATGAAGTGGAAGAGCAAACACTAATCTGATAAACACTGTACTATTTTTATATATATTTTGCCTATTTTCTCTTTCTTTCTCTCCCATTTTCTCTCTCTCTCTGTGTGTGTGTGTGTCTAAACATCTAGGTGTAACGACAATGTTGAATTTTTTCACAACATCCAATGGTTTCAGAAGTACACTGCCTGTGGTATCGAACTTAACGGCGATGAATGTATGGGACGGTGTTTGTATGTGTTTCATTTACGCATCGTTGCTTGAATTCGTTTGCGTTAATTATGTTGGCCGTAAGCGTCCGTTGCACAATGTCGTCTATCGACCTGGCGAAAATCCGGTGACACAGGTAAAGTCTCTTTTCATCTATCGCTCTCTCGATCTATCTATCTCGGTCTCTCTTTCTATGTGTTTCTCTTTCTGTTGTTTTTTTTTTTTAAATTTTTCTATCAAATCTCAAATTTACGTTCAAAAAATCTCTTTGCTTCCGATCGTGGAACATTTTGTTTGTACTTATTTCCAACGTTATGCAACATATGCTTCAGGATCTGTTGTATTTTTGTTTTTTTCTTTCTTTAAAAAATAACGTTACCGTAACACGATTCACATTGCAGTGAATTAAAAAAATGCAGAGCCGTGGTCGTGTTCGTGCGCCGTTTGATGAAAAAACATATTAACATCACGTCAGTGATGGCGGCAGCGACGATTGCGGCAAATTTTGCATTTGATTTTTGCTTATTTTTGTACCAATGAATGAATCTTATCCCTTCATGCTTATTATTTATGATTAACAATACTTATACGAACATGGATAAGCATTCAGCTTCTTTTTAAATATATAAAACATGTGTTTTGTATTAATTTAATTTGATTTGATTTTGACTATGTCGCACATTCGCCTTGATTTTCTTTCGTTTGTATAATATATGCTGTTGTAAAGAAAAGAAGGGGGAAACAAGGTGTAAAGACTAAGCTTGCGGTCAGAACTAACCTACCTCAAGACATACGCAATGCAAACACACACTTACTGGAAATGTGACGATAAATATGTTTCAGTGGGTGAGGTGATTATCCTCATTCTGTGTCGGTGATGAGGATAATTTATGTGAAATTGAGGTAGAGACGGATTTGACAAAATGAAAACAACAACATGCCCATCACACGTTGGGGTATTTATTTTGTTCTTTTTTGCTGGTAAATTTTGAGATATTTATATGCATAGGCATCAAAACCGCCGAACGGCAAAATGAAACATTTTTATATTTGCGATTTTACAAAGAAACTGTGTGCTTTTTCGTTTTTGATTTCGACAAATTCGACTAAGAATAAGAAAATGACACATGCAAAATGAATCAGCACAACTTGATGTAAATAAACGTTTAATGCTAAAATTATCAAAGATATATGAATATTTGATTGAAATAGGAATGCGATAATTCAAGACAAATTTCTTAAATGTGACACTTTAATCAACCTGAGCTAGAGACGGTTTCGTTGATGATTTAATCATTTATTTGAAACAAAAAGAATATCTATATATATATATATATAAAACCAAAAAAGACATATTTCTTCTTTTTCTACCTCTTATATGTGTTTGTGTGTTTCGTCCGAGCAATCTATCACATTTCGTTTTATTCATATTTACGTATTTTCATTCAGTTTAAAAGACAACAACAACAACACAACTCTTTTAGAAAAACATATTTTCACAGTATCCACATGAAAAAAACAAAAAAACAAAAAATATACAACAACAACAAAAATCGATTAGTCGCCGGCCATAAGCGATACAATTGTTTTAAGAGTTTTTATTTTTCGGTTTTGATTTTACAATTTTCAAAGCTCTTTTATGTACTAGCCAAAATTAGTACTCGATGTAGTGTGATTTGTTCATCCATTTTATAAATATATCTGCATTGTAATATGACGATAAAAAAAAAAACAGAAAAAAAACACAAAAAAGAATTAACGATGATGTTGCTGCTGTGGCTGTACAATTGATACTTTGGCAAAAAAAAATACAACCGTTACAATTCCCATACCTGAATCGAACAAAGCGAGAAAAAAACATTAAAAAACATAGCCGTGGTAAACAGGATAAAAAATAAACCAGCAGCAACATCCATGTAATTTACAAGCAGTTTTCTGCTAATTGTGATTTCCTATTTTTACCTATATATGAAGCATACTATTTTCGTTCTGATTTCAATTTTGATTTATCCACACGTTTTTGGTTGTGTCCTTTCATTTGTTGAAATATTCAAGCGTGCTGAAACCTATAACAACAACAATAACAAACATTAACACAGCAACAAATCTAGAGCAAATTGAGTCTTTAACCCAATGAGCCAAATGTTCACATCACTTTGTGTGTGTGTGTAGACCATATGAATGGTTTGGAGCGAAAATGTAATACAGAAAAGTTTAGCGGAAAAATGTCGATGATGAATGAGCAGAAAACGGATAGCTATATATAAAAACTATAGTGAACTATATAGCTATCCCTTTTCATTTGACATTTTTCCGCTCAACTTTTCAGTATTACATTTTCGCTCCAAACCATTCATATCTAGGCCGATCATGCAAATCGAATCGAAACATAAAATTGATAAATTATACACGGAATAATAAGTGACATATTGAGCTGAAAATGCTATATCCGATGCAATTGAGGCGACTTTTTTCCAATTCGATTTGAATGGCAGAGCCGACAAAATAGGCTGATAGACCTCTGATGACTGAACAAATAATGATATCTTGCAAATTGTCTTCTTGATTCACACAAAAACACACATACACACATTGTGTTGCTTACCGTGTGTTTTTCTCTCTCTCTCTATCTCTTTCTCTTGCATTTTTGCACACACAATCGATCAATATGACATGTTTTGACACAATTTCAATCACAAACGTAAATTGATTTGATCGTACAACGTTCGACACAAACCATAATTCAGAATAAAAACAAATATCGGTATTGATAATTGTTTGTGTGCAAAAAGAAGCAGAGAAAATACAATGATCTTATTATATTGTGTAATTGCGTTTGTGTGTGTTTCTGTTAGCACATATTGTATTTTCTACACCTTTGACCCCATTTCACTAGGAACGAAATCAAAAGCCAAGGACATCATAATAGATTTGTTTTGTGAGCCATTGTTCAAACTGCAATTACGGTTCAAATGGCCATTTATTTATATGAATCAAGTGCGTTCACTCTGTTATTATAGGCAAAAATTCACAGGAATCTTTTTCTAATACATCTATCTATCTCTCTGTGTGTCTATTTGTTTTGTTACAATTTGGTTTTTGGTTTCTGTTACGTTATCTAGAGAATTTTGTTTTTTCTTTTGTTCGCATTCAACCGAAAGGTTTTTAGCTAGTAGGGTCATCAGGGATAATGTTCAAATATCCAAAATCGAAGTTAAGTAATTTTCCAAATCGAACAAGAAAAAGACAAAAAAAAAACAGAAAGAACGTAGCCCATTTAGACCGTTGTATCGTTTCGACACAGTGCTCATGAATATTTGAAACGGATGGAATGGAAAATTCATTTGGAAAACTCTTAAAAATCCATTTGGTTTAGAATCGATTTTCCATCAAATAATTTGGAACGAGAACAAAATGATAATAAATATATCGGTGACGATATACACGACTGGAAAGCACAACACACCACCGAACATCATTTTTGTTTTGTTTTGTTTTTTGTTTATTTCGTTCAATTCCCATATACAATACACGCCAAAATACACAAACACACATACATGGCATCCAACATTGTGTCAACGAAACAACAACCGTGAGCGATAGATAGACACACCGCAAACCGAACTACACAATTGAATCAGTAAGAATAATCTTGACCTGCAAAATTGAGTGAAAATAAATGTGAAACATAGAGTTTTTTTTATATGGACTTTACAACAACAACTCCATATAAAAAAAACTCTATGTTTCACATTTATTTCTACTCAATTTGACAGGTCAAGATTATTCTTACCTATTCAATTGGTATAGTATTAGGCGCCTAGTATTAGGCTCTCATATCAAATTGTTGAAAATTTTTCATTGATGACTGAATGTGCCACGTTTTGACCAGGCACGTCATTTTCTTAGAGACGAAAATAATTCGATTTGACACACGAGATACAAGATACACACTCCAATTCAAACCACAATTTCAAAATAAATGGAATTCTCACACACTCAAAGCGCACAAACACACACGAATCGAAACATTAACATCCCCTCAGAATACATGAGCGAGACACAGAAAAGCTACAAATTACATCAAATAAGTAAATATCTAGCACAAACCGAAAAACAACAACAACAACAACAACAACAACAACAACAACAACAAAAGAAAACCTAACAAGTATTACTACTTGAATCAAAAATATCCGTTTTATATTTATCCGCACGAATCATCATGAACTTGTTGAATTCCATGCGATTACGAAATTGCAATGCATGTGCACTATGTGTCCACAGTGGGAACAGAACAACAACAACTACTACTACTAACAACATTTCTTTTTGTAGTAAACATTTTTTTGGTATTCCCTATAACTATTTGTATTTTGTTGAAAACGAAACAAAGCAACTACTTACGTCCATCATTCAAATATATTTAAATCATAGCAACTTGTGTCCCTCCTGCTAGAAAATCACAAAGACACATTGCCATTGTTTTTATTTGGCTCTCATTTGAACAAAGAAAAAGCGAACAATTTTCACACCAACCTCATAATCATATGATGGAACTGTCGACAGTAAAAAGCAAGGCTAGTTTTTTTTATGGTGCGCACCCAACCATTATTATCAAAAATAACAACTACAACAACAACAATAACATGAATGAAGAAAGCATTTGATTTTTGTTATCACACAGACGAATAAGTTTTCGTTTTTAGTTCATTTTATTTTTCTTTATCTGAACGTAAACTGTTTGAAGTACTCATTTATCTTGGTTTTGTTTGTTTGTATTTTTTTCTATATATATATATATATCTACTCTCTTTCGTTTGTGTTACGTTCTCGTTTTATTTATGTTGGCCATTAATTTCATGCAAGCATTTTACGTAGAACCGAATGATCAGCGAACCAAAATTAGAAAGAAAAACGAATAACAAAAACAAACAACAAATCAAAATGAATCATTAAATCTTAAAGTGTGTTTAGTATGAACCAATATGTGTAATATCATTTTCTAGCGACTTCCAGCTGTACTTAGCAGGATCGGAGTAATCTTGGCAAGTCCTTTGGTAAGATACTTATGAATACATAATTTTATTTTGATTTCCTTTCTTTAAATTTTTATACCATCGCCCTTCGTCCACCCCTTGAGTCCATACCTCTCTCGATATGATCTCTCGGTCTCGCTCAGTCTCATTTTATATCTATATATGTATTCACTATCAAACACATTCACAATATTCGTTTAGGTAGCGTTGTATTCCCATATTTCGTTATTTACTCACTTCCGTTTGTTTTTTTGGTTCTTCTCCTTCCATTCTTTGAATGCAGCAACACATTTCAGTGTGTGTGCTGCTCTGCATCAAACACACAAAAACCGCAAATAAAATCCCGTTTGTACCATATGTCGACAGTAGTAAATGAGCCGATAGAACTAGACAAACATATACACATACATTTATGCAATTTATCACCAACAACAGTAAAAAAACACACATTTGCAAATTTTAGTCATGCTTCCGATCGATTGTGCACGTGAAACGGCCCAGCTTTGCACTTAGTATAAAATCAAATCAGCAAATTGCTATCGCTTATTTCACTATTTTTTGTGCATTTTCAACAACGTCATAATACATCACACACACTCACACCAAACAATATCTATTCGTTTTTCTTTGCACTCACCCACAAAAAAAAATATAAATTGAAATAAAAACAAAATCCCGTTAACAGATGCTTTGATACGAATTCTTATCGAATATACATACACACACACATTGCTCAATCTGCCACACACAAGTTGTGTGACACAACCACACACTACACACATACACTCACAAACTACAGACACAGTGTAAAACCGACACATAATAAACACACTTTAAGCTTTCGAAGTATTCGATCATACCAATTATATTTGCCGCTTTGGATGTATATTGTGGACATTAATTGTATATACATGAATATTTTATATAAGTAACTATATAACAACCAATCCTCTTATCATTTATTTTTCTTTTGTCAGCCACCAAACAAACGAAACTGTCTATCTATATATCTATATGTGTCTCTCGCTCTTTAGTTTCATTTTTCTATATTTCAAATCAATTAATTCATGCAATTCTTTTATCTATTCTCATATATGATTTTGGCCTGTTTTTTTTTCATTCTATTTCTTTTCACGTATGAACAATGCTATTTTTTCTGTAATTAGAACTAAGAAAAAGAAGAAACTGACTGGTCAATTAAAAAATTTGCTTTGAATTTGTTTTACCGCCATTTGCTCGAAAAAAAAAATTAATAAAGCTTCACATAGAATACTAACAACGACGATCTAAAAACACACTGAAAAATACGAACGAATCAATTGGTTCAAATTTATTAATGAACTGAGGAATCGAAATTTTAGCGCGCAAAAATGCATTTTGAATCCGAATGAGTGTATAATTTAAGCATTAAATGCCATTTACTCCTACAACTGCAAAAAAAAATCAAGAAAAACCAGATTTACTATCTCACACTTGCTCAGTACAATGGGTTTTT